AGAGAGCTTGCCTTGCATGCCTGAGGCCCTCATGAACCACATAAGCAGAAAAAGCCAGAAGTGGCGCTGTGGCTCAAGTGGTAGAGCACTAGCCTTGAGCTGAAGAGCTGAGGGACAGCGCCCAGACCCAGAGTTCAGGCTCCACGACTGGACCCAAAAAAAAAAAAAATCAACTTTGGCTGGGTGCAGTGGTACATGTCTGTAATCCCAGCTACTTAGGAGGTATCTAACAGGAATAGATATGTAAATATGCTCACAAGTGTATTTTAGCTTAATAAGATTTTTTGGTTTTTTTGTTGTTTGAGTTTTTTTTGTTTTGTTTTGCCAGTCCTGGGGCTTGAACTCAGGGCCAGGGCACTGTCCCTGAGCATCTTTTGCTCAAGGCTAGCACTCTACCACTTGAGTCACAGCACCACTTGTGGCATTTTCTGTTTATATGGAACTGAGGAATCGAACCCAGGGCTTCATGATTGGTAGGCAAGCACTCTACCACTAAGCCACATTCCCAGCCCTAGGATTTGGTTTTTTCCCATTTTCTTCCTCAATCTCCTATCTCTCTGCTTCCTGTTCCATTCCCATGTGAAGGACATAAAGAATGTCTTTAGAGCTCAAGTAAGGTCATCATGATTTTCTCCCTATCTTACTAATCAGAGGAGTAACAGGTCATTCAAGACAGCAAGGAATATAACTCTGGAGACTAACACCAGCCCATTAGAAATTAAGGACGCCCAAGGCCACTAACTGTTTGGCCCAGAATAATGCCTTAGTACACACATCCAGAAGCCCTAGCCTGTGGAATTACCTAGAATCGCTCACACACACTAGAACTGTGTTTTCTTCTTGGAGAGCTGTGTAAGCAGTTCTCATTTTTGTCTGGCAAAATGAGAAAGCCTTTATTTCCTGTTCTCCAAAAACTTGATCTCATTATTTGTAAAGTAGCACTGAGTTCAGGGGACTGAATTTCCAGTAACAGCTGGACATAAGAGGATCAAGGTCCCAGAATGGCCTGCACAAAAAAACATGTGACCCTTCCTAAAAACCAAAATTCTGATGGTGTGGCTCATACCTGTAATCCTAGCTACTCAGAAGGCTGAAATGAAATGTTAGGAATGCAGTTCCAAGCCAGACAGGACAGAAATGTCCATGAGATTCAAATCTCTAACAAGTTAAAAAAAAATCTGGAAATGGCCGAGAGCTGGTGGCTCACACCTGTAATTCTAGCTATTCAAGAGGCTGAGCTCTGAGGATCAGAGTTCAAAGCCAGCCCTGGCAAGAAAAGGCCATGAGATTCTTATCTTCAATAAACAACTCAGAAAAAGCCACAAGTGGTGCTGTGGCTCAAGTGGTAGAACACTAGCTTTGAGCACAAAGAGATTCAGGGACAGCACCCAGGCCCTGAGTTCAAGCTCCAGTACTGGCATACATACGTACATTTGCATGCACACACACAGACACCGACACAGATACAGACACACACACAAATTGAGAAAGTAGTGTTCCTTCTCTATCTGGACCCAACTTTCCCAATTGTGGTCATCTTACATATGGTACATTTGTCACCAAGAGTAATCTATTTTTGTAAATTTATTTTTTTGTCTGTTGTGGGGCTTGAACTCAGGGCACTGTCCAGCGCCACTTCTGGTTTTCTGATGGTTAATTGGAGATAAGAATCTCAGGGACTTTCCTGCTTGGGCTGGCTTTGAACCTCGATTCTCAAATCTCAGGCTTCTGTACTCAGGGATTACACACTTGGGATTACAGGTGTGAGACACTGATTAGTGGCACCCAGCTTAATCTATTATTTACTTTTTTTTTTTTTGTCGGTCCTGGGGCTTGAACTCTGGACCTGGACACTGTCCCTGAGCTCTTCAGCTTGAGGCAAGCGCTGTACCACTTGAGCCACAGCATCACTTCCAGTTTTCTAGCAGTTAATTGGAGATGAGTCTCACAGACTTTCCTGACCAGGCTGGCTTTGAACCATGATCCTCAGATCTCAGCCTCCTGTGTAGCTAGGATTACAGGCGTGCGCCACCGGCACCCAGCTATTAGTTACTATTTTAGAGTCTGTTGCCATTTGTTTATAAAATGTCCCCAAAGGCTATGTTTACTGAAGGTCCCATTGGTAGTTGCTGCTGAAAGGAGATTAGATTGTGAAGGCGCAAACTCATCAATGGAGTTCATCAATGGATTGGCCCAGTGTTATGTTCATCACTAAGTGGAGTATTGGGAGGCGGGGCCTGTTGAAGGAAGTTGGTCACTGGTCCCATTGAACCAAGCTACTTTCTGCCCACAAGTAGCCCTACTGAGTCTGCTCCCCCTCCCCCGCCCCCCTGCCAAGCCCCTGGGCTTCATGGGTGGAAAAGCCCAGTAAATCTCCACTTCCAGCTCAGGAATGGCTGCTTGCCCCCTAAGACCATGCAGTGGGGGCCAATAAGCCTGGGTCTTGGCCAAGCTGCTCAGCATCCCACTGGTCTACCTGGTAACAGGGGCCTGACAGGGGCCCTTCTCAGGTTACTCGGAGGATCACTTTGCCTTAGAAACTCCAGCTGTCCCCTTGGGTGCACCAGTAACTGATGCCAGGGCCCTGAGCAGCCAGAGCCCACAAAAAGCAAGTGTCCCTGTGCGTTCCTAGAGCGCTGTGCTTTGTCATTTGTGACCACAACAATTATCAGCGTGGAAGGTGAGCAAATGCGGGGAGTGGGTCTACCACCCCACGATCCGGGATGGGGTCTCTAAGATGCCTCCACTCATATCCTGAGATAACCTAGTCAGCCTTGAGATGGTGCAGGAGGGGAGAACAGCCAGTCTCTGGGCTCTGGGTAAATAGGAGAGAGCTTGGGTCCATCTGCAGAGTTGGGAGAAACATCAAAGGGCATGCCCTGGTTTTCAGAAGCCCTGGGGAACTGCTGGCAGCCTCTTAGGTCCCATGGGGACCCTCAGGATGGTTGTAGAGGTTTTAAGGATGTATGTTCTGGCCTTTGCCAGGCAGCCCTGCCACCCAGTGTTAAGTGTGCGTTTGGAGGGGGGTGGGGGCCCCAGTTTCAGCATCTACTCAGCCTTTCTCTATGGGACCTGCTGGACTGAGGTTTGAGGGGTGGGAGGAAACACTATTCTAAGAGGGAGTGGCCTCTGCCATTCCACAGAGGGGTGACCTTGGATCAAGACCCTCCTGTCTTCAGACGCCGGCATTCTACTGCCTGGAACTGGAGAAATTTGTAAAGCTTCTTCCTGGGGTCTGCATGAGCTCCAGGCCTCTTCATGTGGGGCTGTGAAGGAGAATTTGAACAGCTATGTAAATATGAACAGATATATAAATTCAAACAGGTAAATAAGAAGAGGGTTGAAGGTTTAGGGAAGAGTAAGGAGAGGGGCATGAAAACTTCATGTACCATGGAAACCAGACAGTAAAACAGCATGGAAGACCTTAAGGAATGGACATTTGCCTTTGGCTTACCAAGAAAATAACTGTCTTAAAATGATAAAAGTCCGGGGCTGGGCTCAGTGGTAGAGCGCTTGCCTTGCATGCATGAGGCCCTGGGTCTGATTCCTCAGCACCACATAAGCAAAAAGAGAAAAGCTGGAAGTGGCACTGTGGCTCAAGTGGTAGAGCGCTAGCCTTGAGCTGAATAGCTGAGGGACAGCACCCAGGCCCAGAGTTCAGGCCCACGACCAGACCCAAAAAAATAAAAAATAAAATAAAATAAATGATAAAAGTCCAGGGTAGTGCACAGTAGTGCTTATCTGTAATCCCAGCTATGTGAAGGATTGCACAGTTGCACTGACAACCAATCTGAAAAACAATCCAAACACAAGGGCAGGAAGTGTGGCCCAAGTGGTTGAGCAACTGCCAGGCCTCAAGTACAAATCCCCAAATCCTATAAAAGTAAAGTCCAACGCGAAGGAAAATATGAATGATGTCTTCAGAAACCCTTGTCTTGGTCATTGGTGACCACAGGGTACTGGGAGCAGTCCCAGCGATCCTCGGCCCCCTAACCTATTTTTGGAGAAAAGGTCTCACTAGTAGTCCTGGCTGGCCTCAAGTTCCCGACGCTCCAGCCTCAGCCTCGGCAATACTGGGATTACAGACAGGCACCACCATTCCAGGATTCCTCTGCCCACCAGAAACCCCTCCACCTACCCCGCCTCCCCCCCCCCCATCCTACCTTTCCCCCTCTAATCACATTCTTCTGAACTGTCTCCTCACCATTCCTCCACCTGGACTTAGGGCCAGACAGGTAGGACTCAAACCGAACAGGCTGTTGAATGGGGAAGGGGAAAAGCATAGACAGGCGGACAGAGAGTCAGAAGGAGGAGGAGGCAGGGAGATGTAGAGGCCCAGACCAGCACGTGTCCTGGGCCTCCAAGGACAGGATCACAAGAAACCCCATTCTTTCCCACTCCAGTCACATCGCCGTCACGGCTGCAATGCCAGCCACCAACCAGGGCTGGCCGGAGGACTTCGGCTTCCGGCTGGGCGGCTCCGGCCCTTGCTTCGTCCTGGAGGTGGCCGAGGGGAGCAGCGCGCACGCCGGGGGGCTGCGGCCCGGGGACCAGATCCTGGAGGTGGAGGGGATGGCCGTGGGGGGCCTGAGCCGCGAGCGCCTGGTGCGCCTGGCACGGCGTTGTCCCCGGGTGCCACCCAGCCTGGGTGTGCTCCCGGGCCCCGAGGGTGGCCCTGCTGCCCTGA